CCTGAATATGGCAATAAGTTTATATAGTGCCATATTTGAAAAGGACACTTGAGATTTTTATATCTCATCCATTCTAGTTGTAGTTGATCAAAGGAAAATGTACATTATTTAATGTTGTCTACGTAGCATATTGTATGTAACAGACATTTTTTTGAGCCATCAGTCATTGTCATCTCATAAAATTAATTATACATCAGTGAGTTCTCTCTAATATCAACACCAGTGTGAGTTAGTCACCATAAGTTATTTTCTCTTGTAGAATTGAAAACATTTAACTAATACAGGACCAAATTATGTACTACAAAGTTGAGTTTTGTGTGTTGAGATCATTAATAGTAAAATATTTTACAAATTGTGGTGATCTATTTATATTTTGCTAGAAAGATTTTTATGTACATAATGTAATATCACAGATTCAGTCTGCAGTAATGTTAAATATGCAAAGAAATCTTAGTGTGTTAGGGGAGATAACTCATTCTTTTTGTCATGCTTGCTCAATCGAATTGTTTACATAAAATGCATGCGATTGCCTTGTTTACATGTTTATACTTTTTTAAATCATATTTTTGCCTTGAAAAAGATTTAATTTTTTTTGTAAGTCTTTGGTATGATTAACTTTATAGGAAAAAAACTTTTTTTTTTTTGTGTGAAATTTATATTAAATATGATTGTTCGAGTTGTGAAAAGGGATTGCATACAGTAAATCAGATTACAGAGAAGTGATACTAACCAGTTTCATATTCAAAGTCATTGAGTGTTCTGTTTTGATTTGCAAATGTTATTTTTTTGACATTATGCCATTAACCATAAAGTATATCGCTAAACGACGTAGAGACGTCAATTTAGGGGACGGGAAACTTCCCAGTCATGATAATGTAATTATAATATGTTGCAGAAGCTAAAAAATTGTGAAATTTCATTACTCATTGTTTTTCGGATGTTTTAGAGTTGGGGAGAGTCAGTCAGTGTCTATGACACTTTGGAATAATTTCAAAAACTTACAGGCAAACTTATATCTGAAAGTCCAAAAATTTAGGAAATGACATGCATAATAATAATAAATCATTTGGTCTTCATCCTTAAACCATTTCAGTAGGGGCTACATTTTCATGTCAAATCACAACAAACAATAATTTGATTACGCTTTCTTGCACTCTTGACAGAATTTTGAACTCTTGACAAAATTTTGAATTTTATTTTGAATATCATTCAGCTTAAATTTCCAGTACTGTTTTGTAGAATATTTTTCTGATTGTGAAGAAATGACAAGCATCCGATGCTTTACATTATGATACAAATGACAAACAACAATAAACAGAAATTGCCTTGAAATCAACATCATCGTTTAAATGTGTTGTGTACTGAAGTTATGGCAACTTGCTCTGAACCAAGAAGTTACCTTGTTTCTAGCACACAATAGAATTACTGGCAGCATTCTCGCGTCCCGAAAGACCTTAATAAAATTTTTATACTGAATCTAAATTATGGTTTAGAATGAAATAATTAGGTGAAATATATTCTTATAAAAAAAAAATGACAAAAAAAGCTTGAATTTAATGCAAAGTTTTAAAACATTTTTTTTTTCTTGTTATAGGAAAAGTTGCCAATTTCCGTAGTTGTTTTCAAATAAGATATATCATTCATAATACTTTTACCTCCAAGTTAATGGGACCATATGATATGATACAGTAAAAGTACGCCACATACATCAACGGCTCATTACATATAGCTGTGAGAAGCTTGACAAATCATTGTCACAGGTGTTATGGTAAATATACTCCATACAACACACAAAATATTGTTCTTGTTTTTGTTTTAAGATTCTTAGCAATTTTGGTAGATTTTTGAAAAAGATTTTTAGTTTTAAAACGTTGATTTATCTTGAAAAGATTTTGTTTGTTTAATTTGTAGTTATTGTGTTGTATTGTTATTTTGGTGTATTAAAATTAAAAACTTTGTTTGTGCAATTTTGAAATGTAAACAGTTGATGTTAATTTCATAACACTGATTTACCAGTAATCAAGATACTTAAATGAGTTTTAAACTGATTTTGAAGAAATTCGATAGATGGTGTCTGGCCTTGTGGGTAAATTTTAGACCTACCCTGATACTAAGTATTCATCTTAAGGGACATCCCCATGCCTGGTACAGAATTCATCCATATCTGTTGTGATCGAGTAGAAATCGTGAATTAACAAATCATGAATTCTTTTGTAATAAGCCCACACCCTGACCTCTTTGGCTTATTGCAGGTGAATACAATAGTACAAGTTTGAAATTGAGAAACTAGAGTACTACAAGGGATGCTGTTTCATGGTAGCACTAGTTCAAAGGGTGATAACCAAATGATCTTCAGTTGTCAAGGGCCCTGGAATTTAGATCTAAAAATATGCTTGTTTATTTGTATCAGTTTAACATGTTAATTATAAAATACTAATATTAAACAAGGTTTTTAATTACGCCAAATTTTAATTTTTTTTTTCAAACAGAATGAAAATTTCACATTTTTATTAAGAAGTATGACCACCATTTATATAAAATATTGAATGAATGAAGTTTGACAAATTACTAATATTAAACGATGTTGAAAGCTTTTTTCTCTCTACAAAACCATAAAACAGGTTTGAATAAGCACTAGAAAAGACTCAAAAATAAAGATGTACAGACATAGAATAATTGAATCTTAGGTTATTGAGATGCGAGGTATTGAAATATTGTACTTGTAATATATTCTTACCAGACGTGTGATAGAAGGTATTGTCAGCAAGCTGTGATTTGTGTTAATTTGTATTCTTATCATTCCAATAATTTTTAACATTTAAAGAATGTATGTGTTATCATGTATGATATTACTATCTTTGTACATAGATGTATGTAATCTAATGTAATATATATGTGATAATGTACAGTGATCATACTTGGAGAATTATACAATGACAGTTTATAATGTATATGAATGCCATCGTGATGTGTAGTGTATTATCACAAGGTCAACACCATACACATTGTCCACTGTGGGGAAATAAACTATTCAATATCATTCAAGTGTCTTGTATGATTAATCTTTCACTAAACAAAATTCAGTAAGCTTTCTTGAAAAACTAACTTTCTATTGCAGCTATCTTTCAAAAGTTTTACGTTACAGAACAGGATCTCTCATTTCTTCTCTCGGTCTTAATTGGTAATCTTCAACATTCGCAAAATTGTTTCAAATGCAAAATTCATATCAGGAAATTAAAAGGAAATTGGTTTTCTTGCACCGTTCTGTCATAATAACAATTAAGATTTATGCTATGAAACTGCTAAGAAATATTTTGACAAATTATGGTTTAAAGTATTCCTACAGACTGAAGTTGTTTTGATTTTATACAATTATGCAAGAGTTGTGACCAGAGGGAAAGGTCTTAGACAACTTGACGTATTGAGGCTAATTCATCTGCCCCCTGGAGGAACTACCATATTTATCTGCAAATAAGCCCAAGCCCACATATAAGCCCCATTCTGCATTTTTGCAAAATCATCAGTTTTATAATAGTAAGCTATAGCAGTTAACATAAATCCTTTCAAATATTTAACACCAGGGAAGGGGGCTTATTAGGGTAAATTTGGTAACTTAATTCGTTCATTCAAGAAATCAATGTTTTGTTGAAGAAATTTTTTATGCCAGATTTGTTTAAGCAGATTGATAAATGGAGGATTAAACAAGAGTCTTCACGCCTAATAAGAAATTGTATAACATTATTTTCATCAATCAAAGTATTTAGCAATTTGGTCCAGGACACCAAGAGATAATTTTTGTGTTGCCTGCAGAGCTGGCGGACACTTGGGGATCACTGTCCACCGTCACACCTCTTTGTCAGCAGCAGCGTCGGCGTCATCCGTATGAAAGTTTTCCCGACTTTTTTCGGTTATGCTTTGAATTACCAAAATGAAATTTAGTATATAGCTTCTTGTTGGAAGGGTACAGATTAAGTCTGATTTCCGACTGTCTGTGACCCTTCTTGGCAGAGTAATGACCCTTTGAACATAGAACATTCTCTTGGAATTTTGTTTTCCATACTTTTTGGGTTATCCTTGGAGTTATTGAAATGAAATTTGGTATATGGCTTCTTGTTGGTAGGGTAAAGATTAATTTCAATTCCTGGCTGTCTGTAACCCTTCTTGGCAGAGTTATGCCTCTTTGAACTTAGAAAATTCTCCGGGAATATTGATTTCTGGAATTTTCTTGGTTATGCTTCAATTTATCAAAAATGTAATTTTGTATATGAGTTCTTGGTCAAAAGTTACGCACCGAGTTCACTTCTTGGCAGTCTGTAACCCTTCTTGGCAGTGATATGTCCCTTTGAACTTGGAAAATTTCTCAAAAATATTGCTTTGCACAGTTTTCCCTTTATGCTTCAAGTTATAGAAATGAAATTTGGTATTACAACTTTATGGTTGAATGTTGAACATCCAGTTTGATTTCTGGGTGACTGTGACACATAGTTCCGAGGAACTCTCGTTTCTTGAAATTATAGCTCTATGTACCTCCAAATAATAGTGAAAAAATAAAGTGTTTGTGGGTATTTTCTTTTGTGAATTAAACCCAAGACATTTGAAGAATTCTAATGGCGAAAACTTTAATGGATACTGCACAACTTCACTTACAAATAATTCTTTCTTTTTGAGGCTTATATGTGGCTTTTATTTTTGTGGTTTGATACTAGCCACAGAAACAACAAAGGATAAAAAAAAACAAAATATTCCAAAGATAACAAATATTTAATTAGTAAACAAAAGTGCCAACTGTCATACATAGAAATCATGAGTTGATAACTACAAATTTTTTTAACAGTTATAACTATTGTGCATTGTACAACATTAAAGTAAATTACCAGGGATTTTCCTTAATTTTAAAAAATTACCACCAAAGAAGACTTTAACAGTAAAAAACTAATTTAAGTAAACTTGAGAGAGAAATTTTGATATTTAAGCATATTTTCCCTTTTATGTATTTGTAATTCTGCTAACTACAAAAAAAAAAAACTACTAAAAAAATCAAACAAACAAAAATTTGAAATAAACAAAACCAAAGCATCTACATGTATTACTTAGTTTACCAGTCCTTAATCAATCTCAAAATTTAAAAATTATAAACAAGTTTTATTTTAAATAAATTTCAATCACGAAATTAGAAGTTTGTTGAGTTATCTCCCCTTATCAGCTATCAAAGGAAAATAATATATGGTACTGTGATACACCATACTTTCAGGATTACAATTAAATCACAATTCTGTATTTATACCGTATATTATAATCAGTAAATAAGATATGTGATGATTTTAACAGGTTATGACCAAAGAAACCGGACATCAATACATGCAATAACAGATCCAGGCAGATTTTATAGAATTTGAATAAGGTATTTTGCAATGATATGAAAACAGAATAAAAAAAAATCTGTCATATTTATCAGCAAATCAAGTTAATATCCAGTAGATTGAGTAAAAGTTTGCTGTTCCAAGCTTTGTTTCAATACTGTAGCAGAATCTAGCATATTTTAAAGTATCCGACAACTGCTGTTGATGCTATACCTGGCATAGAGTATCCAACAACTGCTGTTAATGCTACACCTGACAGAGTATCCAACAACTGCCGTTAATGCTATACCTGGCATAGAGTATCCAACAACTGCCGTTAATGCTAAACCTGGCATAGAGTATCCAACAACTGCCGTTAATGCTATACCTGGCATAGAGTATCCAACAACTGCCGTTAATGCTAAACCTGGCATAGAGTATCCAACAACTGCCGTTAATGCTATACCTGGCATAGAGTATCCAACAACTGCTGTTAATGTTCTACCTGGCATAGAGTATCCAACAACTGCTGTTAATGTTCTACCTGGCATAGAGTATCCAACAACTGCCGTTAATGCTATACCTGGCATAGAGTATCCAACAACTGCTGTTAATGCTATACCTGGCATAGAGCATCCAACAACTGCTGTTAATGTTCTACCTGGCATAGAGTATCCAACAACTGCTGTTAATGCTATACTTGGAATAGAGCATCCAACAACTGCTGTTAATGCTATACCTGGCATAGAGTATCCAACAACTGCTGTTAATGCTATACCTGGCATAGAGTATCCAACAACTGCTGTTAATGTTCTACCTGGCATAGAGTATCCAACAACTGCTGTTAATGCTATACCTGGTATAAAGTATTCAACAACTGTTGTTATGTTATACCTGGCATAGAGTATCCAACAACTGCTGTTAATGCTATACCTGGCTATAACACAAAACACATGTGAAATTGTAATTAAGATATACTTATATGGCAAGTTGCATGAATCACCTAACACTTGCAAAGAAATTTCTCGTACAATAAAAAATCTACAATTTCATCACAAAGTCAAACGTTCCAAATCAATTCCAGCCTTTTTACAGAACAATAAAGAAAGATCAAAGCCTCAATATATTATTGTTATTTTCATAACTGTATTAGAATGCAGGCATAACAGCTGATTAAGGTCATATAATGGAAATTAAGTCTCCACTGGTGACATTTCATAGTAAATAACTTAAGTTTAGATGTATATTATTAAACTAGACTTGCTCGTGGCATTACACAAAAACTGAAAATTATCTTACACAACAAACCAACTAAAGCAGAAAACCAGAAAATCAATTTTTAGTTTAATTCACACAACTTTTTTAAATAAAATAATTCTGACGTTTTGGACAAAAATAAAAGGTTGATTCTGGCAAAAAAACATGCACATATAGACAGCTTCATCACTTATAATAATCAATACTTTTAGATTTCACTAATTAGAGAAAACAAATTATCATAATGGATATCGCATTAAATATAAATAATTTGTACAAATTGAAACAATCTAAACTTCTGACAACTCCAATAAAAGTTAACTTTGGTTATGTACAAGAGTATTTTATTAACAATGATGTACATCAGACATTTTATTTTTTTAGTCAAAGGAAGTTTTTGAACATTCTCCTGCCACCACCCCCTTCTCCTCCATCACCGTCCCCCCTCTCCCCCATCACCATCCCCCCTCTCCCCATTACCGTCCCCCGCCCCCCCAAACAAAAAGTTACTGCTGTATAACTATAAGTTGTTATAAATGTGTCGGCTGTCATCATTGATGCTCATCAAAATGTCTGTGCAGCTGTTTCTACAGGGAATGATGTGTACCATACCAGTTTATCTAATTAGTGAAATTTGATATACAAGTGACATTTAAATCTACTGAAATTTTGTTTTGTAATCAATGAAGACATTGACTACTTCTGCTAGAATAACATGCTTGTATTTCCAGTAACTTTCAAATACATTATCTGACAGAAATAGCAACATCACATTGGAATATACAGATTCTTATGCACACATACAGTTTAACCTGCCTTGAGAGCCATCCACATATACCTGTTTATAAAGGTCACCTCTTTATAAAAAATAACTGTATATAAAGACCACTTCTATAACATATACCTGCCTATAAAGGTCACCTCTATATAACATATACCTGTTTATAAAGGTCACCTCTTTATAAAAATTACCTGTATATAAAGGTCACCTCTTTATAAAAAAATAACTGTTTATAAAGACCACCTCTATAACAAATACTTGTTTATAAAGACCACATCTATAACATATACCTGTTTATAAAGGTCACCTCTTTATAAAAATTACTTGTATATAAAGGTCACCTCTTTGTAAAAAAATTAGCTGTTTATAAAGACCACCTCTATAACAAATACTTGTTTATAAAGACCACCTCTATAACATATACCTGTTTATAAAGGTCACCTCTTTATAACAAATACCTGTTTATAAGGACCACCTCTATAACATATACCTGTTAATAAAGGCCATCTCTATATAACAAATACATGAAGGTTTATGAAGGTCATCTCTCAATAAAGGTCACTTTTGTTCCTTTCAGTGACCTTTATAGACAGATTTGACAGAATATTAACTGAGTGTGACATAGGATATCTAATATTTCGAAGACTGACGTGATCTCAGAATGGTAATTTGTAAACACTTCTAAAAGTCAATGAATTACCAATCCACTGAAGCCATGTTACACCAGTAGTTTTTTCCCCCCAATACCTACAATGTATGTAAAAATCTGAAATCTTCATGCTGCAACATTTATGCACAACTGTTGATGTGCCAGCAATAACAGTATACTCACGGCAGAACGAATATTATATGGTATACAAGTATGATCTACATATACTCAAAAGTTATGAATTTGGTTTTGAAGGTGGTATATGGAACACACAAACATTTATATATGTATTATCACATCAATTATATTTAATTAACATGGTGTGATCATCTTAATCAATTCAAAATATATCCTTTGCAACATTTTTCTTCAGATTGGTAATGTGTATTAAATCTTCTTATGTATCACAAAAAGAATACTTATGCTTGACACTTGATTTCATTGATAAAAATGTCACTTTCGTCAGTTCATTGTGAGGTGTATTTGCACTGAGGTATACTATCAGGCCAATATACATATGCCAATATATGCCTCACACAGGACATGTGTGTATGATAGTGCAGTCATCCAAATGTCACATGTAAATTTTCAAACTAGTTGTGGGGGGCAGGGGGTCGGGTTTAGAGCAGAGACAGAAAAGAATCTGATTGAATACTGCAACAAAATATTTCAGAAAATATTTCAAAAGGAAAAAAAATCATTAATATCATTGAAGTCATTTTTTTCTGTGATCTCTGAATCATAGCATTCAGGTTTAAGCAAAGACTGACAACTTTATTGTAGGCCTTTTTGTACAGGTACCGAAATTGTATTTCAAGAGGCACAGAAATGAATGGCAATTGGAGTATAAAGGTCAGATGTGCAGGTAAGGTTTAAGTATGTACAAAGCATCTGGCAACAATGTTTGGATAGAAAGAACCAAAATACGACACATTTTCTTAACAAACATCCATGGGAATTTCAGTAGATGCAATTAATATCAAATTTATATGTACAAGTATTTTCTAGTGCAGCTCTAGTAGATGAACTACTCTGTAACAGTGGCGGCTACCAGCTGGGCAAGTTCCTCTTGTGTAAGTCCAGTCTCCATTTCGTGGGAGTCAACAGGTACCTCAACCAATCCGGTCTGTTCATCGACAGATAGGTCGACAACTTCCATCATAGTGCTACCCTCCTGCTCCTGAACTTGATCAGTACTCTCAAGTTCCTCATCAATCACCTCCTTCTTAATCTCCCCGGCCGTTTTCAATCTCTCCTCATCTTCTATCTCAGCATGAACCTTCATGTGATTGTCGAGGATTTGTTTACGACTGAAGGTAAAGTGGCAGAGTTCACACTTGAACGGACTCTTCCCTGTGTGTGTACGGTAATGGGTTTGTAAGTTGACCTTCTGACAAAACGCTTTGTGACACTGATCACACTTGTATGGTTTATCACCGGTGTGTATGCGAATGTGACGGTATAGATCGGATATCTTACCAAACACTTTCCCACAAGTATCGCATTTGATCTCCCCGGTGTGAACTTTCAAATGGACGTGGAGGCGATACAAGTCAGTGAATCCCTTAAAGCAGACACCACATTTATAAGGTGTGTCGTCCCCAGCATGAATCTTCATATGTCGTCGGAGGTTACCACTTTCGTTGAAAGCTCTGGTGCAGATAACACATTGGAAAGGCTTTTCGCCAGTGTGAATGCGTCTATGCATTTTGAGTTCGTATCGATGCATGTAGGTTTTGTCACAGTGATCGCACTTGTAAGTCTTGTCATGAGTGTGCGACTTAAGATGGCGGTGACAGTTGCTCTTGTTGTTGTACTCTTTACCACAAACATTGCATTTGTAGATGTATTTAGTAGACACCTCTTCGGTCTCTCCTTCTGCGGCAGGTGGTAGTTCTTCCTGGCTTTGCTCAGCCTCTGCTACAGCTGTTTCAAGTTCTTCCCTCTCTGCTTGTGAGGTACTTGGCTTTACATTTCCTTCCTTTACTATGCCATCTGTTGCTGCATCTGAGGTGACCTCTGCATTCATGGCCACGTCAATAAGATTACCCAGGTCTATAACTGTCGCCACCTGCTGGTTGGGAAGCGTGACCTGGTGACTCCTAACCATGTATCGCTTCTCCCCACTCTCGTCAGTGACATCAAACTCCTGGTTTTCATTTAGGTTAGTAGCCACGGTTTGAGTTTCTGCCGAGGCAGCTGCAACAGTTCCTGTCTCAGCATCCTTCTTCTGAGCATTTGCAGCTTCCGCCTTGGCCTCCTCTTCACCCTGGTGACTTTTAACATGAGCAACAAAACTGAAACGCTGAAATAGCTGACCACAGTATCCACACATGAACACCTGCTCCTTTGCGTGGATCTTGAGGTGGTTCATCCAGTTGGTTTTGTTTTTGTAGATTTTCCCACAGATGCCACATTTGTGGAAAGTAACTTCCTTGCCAGCACGAAGTCCCTTCACAGTGTTGTTTTCATCATCGGTTTGCACATTCTGTATAACTTGAGGGTTTTTAGTCGGCCTTCCTCTCTTTCTTTTCTTTCCTGGTGTTTCAACAACATTATTTTCCTCTTCTATCAGTGTTTCATCGGCTTCCTCATTGTCCTCTGGTATAGTCAAATCAGCCGGCATGCTGAAGTTTGGTTCAATCACTATAGACTCATCCGGAGTTGGGTCAGTCTGTATCCCACGCTCAGCGAAGCTGTAACTATTAAACTGTGGTACTGTTGTGTTTTGTATTCCAATACTGTGTGCACGTCTGCTTCTTATATCAATATCTGTTTGAATGGCAGACTCGGAAAACGTGGGGCCAACTGGGTTCTGCTCCTCTTTGCTTTCCTGATAAACAATCACTTGCACTGTCCCGTCCTCTAAAACCTCTGTCTTGTATTTTCCTGCTGGAATCTGAAGAGGCACCCCATCAATGATGATTTCTTGGTTTCCAGATGACAATTCCTCCTCTGCAACCTCTTGGATTGCCCCTGGGGCAAGCATGGACTGCATCAGGGCCTCTGTTGACCCCATTACTTCATACTGAACCTCCTCAGACATGGTCAGTGGTTCCTTTACGGTAGATAGATATTTCTTTGTTCAGTGGTCCTGGTTTTCTTTCTGCAAAACACAACAGATAAATACTTTCTCAAGCTGGTTTTATTGCTTTATAAAAGAAGTTTTATTTCATGAAATTTCTTCCAAAATATCTTAATGTATTTGACTATATGTATTTAAGGTTTCTGCAGAGTTCAAAATTGTTAATTTTTTTTCATATAATTAAGCAAATCAATGCAATCTGATAGGAATTCTACTTTCATCTTAAAGAAAAAAAAGGGAGAGGGGTCAAGGAAGCCATATAAAAAACATTATTTTCCAACATCATGCATCATTTTACACAAACATTATAGTGAAAAAATTTGATTCTTATATATTAAAATATTATAATTTTAAATATTTTTTTCACTGGATCGAGATTGGGGCATCAAGGAGAGGTTATAAAAGAGCAGGTTCCTGCAAGATTCATAGTCTTGAAAGAATTAGTAAATCGATCCATTCCTCCTGGGAAGGATACTAAGATAGTGGTGCTGCTAGTAGACTAGTAGTATTCAGTAGTGCGATGTCGACTCACAGATATAGGGTGCTAGAGTAATCATAGGATGTGTATTAGCAGGGAATAGTCAGGGGCTAAGGCATCCATACCTGTATACACTGGTTAGCTATAGACCTATAGGGAGCTAGGAGCATGTGGTACATAGTCTGCTGGTACATACACACTTAACATAGGGATAGTGTATTGTAGTGGAGTAGTCAAAAGGTGGCACTGATGTAATGATTCTATATTGTTGTACCTGTTTATATTTATTATGTTCTGTTGATGAATAGTTGTTTGTATATATTGTAACACCTAGTTGAGTTATTGGATACATCTACATCCTAGTGGTAGAACCTCGATTTAAAAGGTCTGCAACTTTGAAGGGGAGGCCCAGAGGGGACTGTTGTGATGGCCGGTGACTACCGCACTGAGGACAAAATGCTATACGATCACAATTGGGAATCAACGCAAGTTCCTGCTGGCAGCTGCCCTCTCTGGGCCTACTATGCACATACAGGTGTGTAAGGTCGGAGCACGAGTGCCAGAGGTGTACTGGGAAGGGTAACAATTAAAAGGTTCAATTTCATTTTTCCATTGCTCATAGCTCTTTGAAACCTCAAGGATTGTCCCTGTCATGATGACCCATAAGACATGTGTATACTGTTAATATTTCAAAGACTTATTTTTTTATAACTGCCGCAGCAGGTTTCAAATAACAATGCGACATAAAATATGTGTTCATTATTTGAAGGTCAAATTCCACACAAGTCCTTGTCAGGTTGACAACAGAGACTGAAAAGTTTGTAATAAAGATTCATGAGACTGGGTACAAACAAGACAATTTTCTATATTGTTATATGGTCTGTTTGAATGGCTATCTCTTAGAATTATTTTACACGAGAATTCCAATTTTAGGCAAGTCCTCTACCATGTGGTATCTAAAGCAAACATTACACGTGTCATTTTCGTTAACACCGTTTTAAGGGTTAACGTTCAATATCAACTTTTGGTATCCAAGATTGGAATTAATTTACCTAAGATGACATTTTAGATGCATTAAAATTTATCAAATGCATTACTCTTCGATCAAGACCAAGACAGCGACAAAAATGGGGAGGGTGAAAGACAATGAACATCATCTGAGGAATAACTGACAATACGTGATTTCAAAACAACATTGAACACGCGATGCTTACTCTAAATACAACTTTTAGATCATCACATTACATTCAAGCGTTTTAGACTACAAGAACGTGTTGCTGCAAACGATTTGTCGATCGAGATTAAGAATCCAAACATACTCAAGATCCTGTCGCCATGCCAGTTCAATGAGCAGGCACATTGCGTAAGGGGGAAGGAAATCATACAAAATTGCCACTTTCCATAATAATGTCATGAAAGTGGACTTGTATTTGATTAGAAAATGTATGGGGATAATAATTATCGATACTTTTAAAAAAATTACCATTTCTTTCACTGAAAATGAAGACCCTTTGAGCTTCTTGTTGATTCTGATGAAATCAAAATGGCGAAGGAGAATTACCCACCATGGACCCGCGCAATACACATGTATGTTAAGGTTATAAGCGACATAACAAAAAATGAGCCAGACAACTTTTTCAAAATATTTAAAATTATGCATAGATTCAAGATAAAAATAACGATTTATTCTATTGAATAGGTTCCGTAAAATACACGTAAATATATGAATATTGTTCGAATAAAGTTTAGTCGCTTAAAGCATTTCAAATTGGCTTCAGAGTTATTTGCCCTTTGAACGCAGCTTGACCGCCATTTTCCTGAGAGAAAATTCACGAAATTTTGAGATTGTTCTGTGCTTTCATGAACTTATGGTGGTGAGTTACAGCGCCTTAAGTTTGTTTCTCCACGTGACATTGTAATTTTCACACACATACCATTTTGTATGTATGGCGTGTACCTAACCCAGGATTTTCACTGAGAAGCTTGGCACAAAGATATCAGCACGGTGTCCAAGCTTCCGTTTGATAGTCAATGGTTAGATATGCGCTTGGAAATATTACAGAACATAATTTGTTATCGAAGATAGTTAAAGAGTTTTCATGATGTTTTACTTTCGATTTGTGTTGTCAAGTAAAGAAATGGTAATATGGATCAAAATAATCTGTTAAATATATTAAATATTGAAAACGCAAGCAGGGGCATGTATGGAAAATTATTTTAAAAATTTCTTTAGCTGGCTAGTGGGTGTTAGCGGCTTAGAAGTTAGATTACTCTAAAGGACTTGCTTTCTTCATTTATATTCCCCAATCCCCGTCAAAACAAACTTAGAATCAAGTCTTTAAACTGATGTTGACTGTTAGAAATATAGTTTCTCTCCCTATGTATTTCCAGAGATTTCTAGAATGGGTAATTTTAGGATTGATCTGTTGATCAATATGGCAGACAAAATAAATTAAAGCAGCAATCTTTGAGTGTTAGATTTCATTCATTTGTCGCATGTAAACTTGCACCTGGTATTTCAAAATTCTTTCTCCCTTAACACATTTCAATGAAATTTTGTGCATGAAATGTCATTTTGGGATGGCAAATTCGGGGACATGGGACGAGACTAAATGGGGAAATTCATGAATAATGATTTAAGATGCTATTACTCCATAATGCCAAAATGATTTCAACAAAATTTGGTCTGAATCATCATGGAGGGAGGAGAATGACATTTTTTTTATAAATGAAGTTGATTCAACCCCTGGGGACTTTGGGACATGTCCTGCTGTATGGGAAATCAGGAGACTAGCCTGAAAGATTCCTATCCTCTCATATGCTTGATGGAAATATTAATTTGTATAACTGCAGGTACTCCAATCTAGGTTTAATGTCTTGGTCTGTTACAGAAAGTTAGGCTTCAGAATTCATCTCTTCTCAACTCATATGTCTGAACACATTTCAACCAATTCTAGCCTGGAATATCATTGGATTTGGACAAACATAATTAATATAAAGGAAGGTATTGTGACCCCAAGGGTCCAGGACAATTAAGGGATATTGGGGAAAATCAATCTTCCTCTCTCATATACAAAAGATTTGGCCTTTGAAATATCATGGGAAGAGGACAGTCATTAACTTTCCATTTCCATGTGGAATTTTGTCGAGAGAAATGCACTGTAATTTGGTCAGATAACTGTTTGTTCCCGTTCATTGTAGATGAGCTTGTATGCATTCTTGATTTCATATAAGATCAGTCAGTATCTGAACCTGCATTTAAGATATTGTAGTTTTATCTGAAAATGGTGATTTTGATCTGAATGTGTCAAAACAAACCATTTGACCCTGAGGAGGGCCAGTAAGCACATATATTTGGATTCAAAGTCAAGGAGTATGTTTAGTGTAGGACACTAAGGTGGCATGTGTACTAAACAGCAATAGGTATGGATAGGCTTGTTACCAGACATGGACTTGCTGCCTGATAATCAGTATTATACAAATAATAAGACTTTTGGGCTAAGAGAATTTCAGTAATTTTTATAGGATTTTTTCAGTGAGTTGAGTCCCAATACTAAGAGATATATTGGGTTCAGGAAAAACATAAGTCCAGGACTTAAATAATTGAATCCCAAAAATTGCAAATTGTTCCAAGTTGCTATGGATTTTACATGTATATATGCATAGAAACAATATATAGACCCTTTTGTGTACCATACAATGTTCTATCATTAGAGTATGTTAGACCCAATTCATTGTACATTTAATATGTACCAGTAAGTGTGACAACTCTCTTCCTGTACCTTAATTAAAAATCAGATAAATACTCTAATGATATTAAATACATTTGTTACATCATTTGTCTTTTCAGATTGACCACTAGTGGTCAGGAGGCATCATGGCTGATGACAAGACAGTGATTCCGACAGTAGTGGAGATGGACGAACAGATTCTACCGGATTCTGAGATAATCCTTGAGCAAGTAGACGGCACTGAAGTCACCGAAGCACAAACAGCAGGGGGCATCATCAACATCACCAATGATGAAACTGGCAACATTATCATGCAGATCCAAAATAGTTCCACTGCAACTTCAGACGAACAGGGCATAATGACTACCTACAACATCAATGAAGTACAGGCTGGGGAAAACATGATGGAATTCGCTCAGGCTCTCAGTGAACTCCAGGCAAGTGAACAGCTTTTGGAATTTGCAAATACAGCTCATGAACAACAAGGTAAGGTTGTTATTAACATGCAGGAAGGCGAGGAACACCAGATTCCCAGTACAGTCAAGGACATCCAGCCAGATGTGCAAATGATACAGATTCCATCCCTGAATGTCAATCTTGGCGACAAACAGAAAGCTGTAGCCATTCCAAGCACAGTGATGGATATACAGGGAATGTCAGATGGTGTCACACAAATGCCTGTCATTGTAAGTGACCACAAGGGAGAGACCAAAGTTGTGGAGGTTTTACATCCAAAATCGGAGCAGATGATAGAGACCCTCCAGGAAAAAACCACTCAAGCAGTAGCCACAGTGGAGGAGGGCACCTCTGTAACTAACGTACTAGAGGGGATTGATATACAACACATAGAGGACGCAATTATAGACAAGCAGATCGTCATTGATGGCCTCCCGCCAAATACGTATCAAAATTTGCGATCTGAAATTCTTGCAGATGGTACAATTCAGCTTTATATGGTGGAGGATCCGAAAGAGGCAGAGAGTCAGGACATGTCAACTTACGAGGATGGGGCATTCTACATTCATGAGAAGTCAGACAGACGTGACTCTAGTATGCAAACAGCAATGATGTCCATAAAAGCCAAGCAATATCGAGATGTGGCTACACAGATCACATGTTTTCCTAAATTTACAAGACAAGGGCTCTTTGATGTGGCCATCCAGGTGAGCAGTAAAGACATTCGACGTAACCCGCTCAAAATATCTGGTGGTAAACAGCTACCGAATGGTACCAAGATCATACAGAACAACATCAAGACTCAGAATGAGAGCACCGTGGTACTCAATGCAGGTGATGCATCTCAGTTGATCTTCCATAAATGTAATATCTGTGGTAAGGTTTACAAAAACAAGCTTAACTGGACAAACCACATCCGATGTCACGCCGGGGAGAAAGTTTACATGTGCTGCCACTGTGGGAAAGTATACCAAAAGGGAAGTCTTGCTTCGCATCTCCGCACCCACTCGGAACTCCGACAGATTGCAGTGTTTGAGAATCTACCTGATGATATGAAGAGGAAAAATCATAAATCTATTCCTGGTCTAAAATTTCCAAATCAAGAAGCCTCTATTATCGAATTAACTATTGCAGATGTTACTACAGAGATTGACGAAAGTCTGTTCCCACCTCCAGCTGCTGTTCCGGCCATGCCTGGTTCAGACCTGCAGCAACTGTCTCCATCAGAAGAAGTGTATGCTGATGCTGATATTCCTGCCAAGATGGAAATAGAAGCCGAAGCGGAGATACAGGAGGGCACAGCCAAAACCAAATATATCTACAAGTGTAACATCTGTGGCAAGGAGTACAACAACAAAAGCAACTGTCATCGCCATCTGAAGTCACACACCATGGACAAGAATTACAAATGTGGCTACTGCGGTAAGGCCTTCACACACAGATATGAGGTACGCATGCACTGTCGTATACATACGGGAGAAAAGCCATTCCGATGTCCAATTTGTACTCGGGGGTTCAACGAAAGTGGTAACCTGCGTCGTCATATGAAGATCCATGTCAGCGATGACTCGCCATATAAATGCGGTGTCTGTTTCAAAGGATTTGATCACATTGTTCGACTGAACGCCCATGCCAAAGTTCACACTGGGGACATAGTGTGTGACACCTGTAACCGGAAGTTTAGCAAGATTTCCGATTTGTACCGCCACATCAAGATACACACAGGAGACCGCCCCTTTAAATGTGAATTCTGTGATAAGACCTTCTGTCAAAAAGTCAACCTTCAGTCCCACATGCGAACACACACAGGCATGAAGGCATTCCGCTGCAAGTACTGTGGTCTGGGTTTCAGTCGAAAATCAATCCTGCAGGTCCATGAGAAAACTCATGAAGAGGGCGAAGAGGATGAAGGAACGGTGGAGAGAGCAGCGGTAAAGACGGGTAAGGACCAGATAGAAGTACTAGAAGCTGAGGTGATAGAACACATGGAAGAGGAGGAAGAAGTTGTTGAGGAATGTATAGAGGTCATCACAGCAGAGGATATTGTGGAGGAAGTCCCGCAGGAAGAAGGTGAACCTAGCGAGGACAAAGGCACTCAGATGGGATGAGAAACAGATATAGGTAAAATGACATATTTATAGTAGATTAGATCACTTGAGGAATATGTGACTGATTGAATGGGATATGTATATGTAGATATTGTAAATACCACAACTTGAGAAAGCGGTTTTTGAGTGAATTAGGAAGAAAAGAATAGTAATGATATTTCGGTGATTTGGGAGAATGAGGTAGAGGTATTTTCTGATATTTATAAATAGATGGTAGTATGGAGATGTACCATATGTAGGTGAGAGGCAATATATATACTGAAAAGAACGACATATGCGGTGCCAACAAATATCTATGTAAATAGCATGATTTGAGAAAGCACATGATGAGAATGCGGTGATCGAGTGAGGTAACCGTTGACAATCCAAGGGAGTGAAGAGGAATCGTATAGGTAAGGTTAAATGAGTTTATATTTTATATCAAATTTTTGAAATGATGATAATATTTGATAAGTGTACTTCTTCTAGTGAATTGTGTGAAATTAATTATCCAAGAGAAAACTGTTTAAATTTCTAAGTTATTTTCATTATACACATGTATGTATAAGTTATATAAACTGGGTGTTTTAAACATAGATCTAAACACGTACAGTAAACAGAAATTGTTCCTGTACAAATTTTTAATTTCCAACTGTGGACATTTATCCTCTCATGATGGATAACACATGTCTTGATAATAGGAGCAGAAAGCAATTTTCAATCACCAGATAGCAGAAATGTTGTATGTGATAAGTAAACTGATGGTACCCACACACTATTTAGGTGAATTTTGATCCTTGGGAATGTAAGCTGATATAATGTCATTACTACGGTGGGCTGGACATTTATTGATTTAGAAGTTTTAGTCAAGACTTTCCTCTCGTGTTAACATTCCCAGCTTAACGTAGAAAAATATCAAAATTTATGTAAACAGTTTAACATTATCATTAAACAGTAAATTAAAATAATTTTCTACTGCAGCTTATATGTTTTACACAATTTTTTTTTGCAATTATTCTGGATGTCAGAAATACTCATTAAGTTCGATTTTCTTTTTTTAACTTCCAAATTATTTGATGTCTAAAGCAACGCAGAAATACTGGTACCCACTTACTGTGGTAAACTTGAAGTTGTGTAATTATCGTACTCGATGACATATTACTTCGCCTTCAGGTAGTTTTCATTTTGATGCTAGGTGTATAATGATAGAGTAAACCCAGTGGGAGACAGAATAAACTCAAAATGTTTGATGGGTTAGGACCTGTACTGCTGTTACTTAGGACAAAGTTAGTGTGATGTTTACTTGCCATATTCATCCAGTAATGGCCCAGAATGGTGACTTACCGAAAATCTCTAACTCAAATTAGGGTTGGGCTTATTGCTGGACAGTGATATAGAATTTTTTTAAATTGATACTAGTGAACTGCAATAGACATTTGTGGCTTGTTACCAGACATGGGCTAATTGCTGTGAAAATACATTCAATAAGGAATATGACATAGGAAGTCTGGAATTATCAAGTGTATTGTAGATTCATATACCATATGAATATGCTTGGTACAGAAGTTAATTTAAACACTCGCAGTTATGATTTTTTTTTTAATTATTTAAATCACATTGATTATTACAAGACTTCTCACATATTTTGTATATATATGTAAACAGTTACATACTGTACGATGTCTCTGTGATTTGCTCCCCACATTTGCTCATCAGTGTAATTGTATAAATTGTAACAATGTTGATTTGTTACAGTGTTTGTATATATATGGATTTAAGATAGGTATCTATCATTGTGATGTTTGTTATCATATTTCCCTTGTTGTTATTTTTACAAGTGTTCGAAATAGAAATACAATAGAATGAATGCTTTTATCCAATAATGTTGATACACACTAATGCTAATTTTGAGATTTGACAATTAGAACTATTTTCACAAAACTAGGCTGTTCTGCCTGTTTGTAAATCCAGTATATAGTATAGTGTTGTATGAAATACCATTGCTTGATTTAATCATTGGCAAAAACTGTACCGTTTTGAATGAATATTTGCCTGTCTTGAAAGAAGTTTGATTGGAGAGTTTTAGGCATTTCTTAAACATAAGTTTATGATAAATAGAATCTTCTATTTGTATCTATGTTTTATTGAATTTATTAAATAAATTAGATAATTTGATTTTACTAAAGGTTTATCATATTATTGAATTTGTTTTATAAATTTGCAAGGACAGTGAAATTCTTTATATTTGAATGGTATTCGCCTGTCCATGTTTTCTACTAGATACACCAGGAAACATGTTTTCACCTTGTATTCCTACAATAAAGTTATGTTGATATTAAAATGTTGTTATCTTGTATGTGTTTGTGTGAAAGGTTTGAACTTTAAGTAGCATGAGGCAAAGCACCATTTGAACCTAAAACATACTATTTCAGAAAATAATATTGTACCCGTGGATCTTAACACTAAACTTGCATGGAAACACCTATCATTTCATAATTTCGATATCAGGGGGAGTAACTCTGGTAGTATTAATCAATGTATCTGATCTGTGCAAGAACTCGTTGCAGAGCCCCGTTAGGCCGTTAAGCCATTTCATTCGGAAATTTGTCATATTTAATAAAATTATTGTTATAATTTTGGCAATTCCCAAAAAAATGGTCACATTAATTTCATTCCCAGTAAAGAATATAGGTTATGTCTATAAACATGTAATGATTTTAGAGAATGCATCTCGGCGATATTTTTTCACGAGATCTTGAAATATGAATTCATTTTTGAGAAAAAATTAATTAAACTTAATGAGAAAGATGGAACAATTTCAAATAAATTCTAAATTCCTTAAATGAAATTTTTGATTGAAGCAGGACACTGGAGGAGAATTCCTTATTAGGAAAGATACGACCAACGAAATTATTAAGAAATAACTTTATTTTTAAAAATGTAGGCCAAACAGTATTTAAAAACTCTTGAAACAAAATTCATTCTAGTTTTTTATATTGTGAATCCATGTATCGGTACAATTAAGGGATTGCTTTCGATTTTTGATAAGTGTGACTAATGTTTTATTTCTGTTTCGGAGGTGGGGGGAAGGGCGGGAAAAATGCATTTCGTTTTAAAATTGATCTTTGATTGCATTTCTATAGAATATATGTATCATTATATGAAGTAGAGACTTTGTCGGTTATGTTTTAAATGACCTCTGACAATCAGTGTGTTTAAGAGAAAAGTCTGGAATATAAAAATTATATGTTTTTTTTTTAATTTGAGAATCCAAAAAGTCTGGTGAAAAGGGGAGATCACTTGAAATTGTGTTCTTATTATAAAGCGCCGATAACTTCAGTGTTTGTGATGGGTGAAAAATATATACATGTTGATAGTGGGTGATGTACACAAGATATTTTTTAAACAAATAATAGAATATCCACGTGTTTGAGGCGAGTCTAAGAGAGTTGATACGCAAAAGTCACCATAACACGTGTTTGAGTCGAGTAATGAAACCCAGGTATGCCAGCTTTTAGTGGCGTAAGTCAAGGTATCTCTGGGGTCACAGGGTTCAGTATATACATGTCAGTGAGAGTCTACCAAAAACCTAAATAACAGTGTTTTATACGTCTCTGAACATGCTAAAATCACACAATACTGAAAATTGCGTAATTTCCTTTGATTTTTAATTGAATGGTTAATACATCTGCCCATTGTGATATAATGTATTCTGTCACTGTTTTTTTTCATTCTTGATCTCAACTCTTAAGCACCTATATGCCTAACAGCACTAACAAATCCTAGATTTCAGCCTTATAGGCACCTCTTTATATAGCAGCACTAACAACTCCTAGATTTCAGCCTTATAGGCACCTCTTTATAAAGCAGCACTAACAACTCCTAGATTTCAGCCTTATAGGCACCTCTTTATATAGCAGCACTAACAACTCCTAGATTTCAGCCTTATAGGCACCTCTTTATACAGCAGCACTAACAAATCCTAGATTCCAACCTTATAGGCACCTCTTTATACAGCAGCACTAACAAATCCTAGATTTCAGCCTTATAGGCACCTCTTTATATAGCAGCACTAACAAATCCTAGATTTCAGCCTTATAGGCACCTCTTTATATAGCAGCACTAACAACTCCTAGATTTCAACCTTATAGGCACCTCTTTATACAGCAGCACTAACAAATCCTAGATTTCAGTCTTATAGGCACCTCTTTATACAGCAGCACTAACAACTCCTAGATTTCAACCTTATAGGCACCTCTTTATACAGCAGCACTAACAAATCCTAGATTTCAGCCTTATAGGCACCTCTTTATAAAGCAGCACTAACAAATCCTAGATTTCAACCTTATAGGCACCTCTTTATATAGCAGCACTAACAACTCCTAGATTTCAGCCTTATAGGCACCTCTTTATACAGCAGCACTAACAAATCCTAGATTTCAACCTTATAGACACCTCTTTATAAAGCAGCACTAACAAATCCTAGATTTCAACCTTATAGGCACCTCTTTATATAGCAGCACTAACAATAGATTTCAGCCTTATAGGCACCTCTTTATACAGCAGCACTAACAAATCCTAGATTTCAACCTTATAAGCACCTCTTTAAACAGCAGCACTGACAACTCCTAGATTTCAGCCTTATAGGCACCTCTTTATATAGCAGCACTAACAACTCCTAGATTTCAGCCTTATAGGCACCTCTTTGTTTAGCAACACTAACAAATCCTAGATTTCAACCCCATATTCACATATATCTAGTATCACTAAGAAATCCCAGATAGATGAAAGACTCGCTCGAGAATACCGCCATTCAATACAAAACCAGTATCATAAAGATACTTCGTCCCTCTTTCTCCAAAACGATGCTTAAGCTTCTCGAGAATTGTTAAACTTTATTATAATCCGTGAAGAAGGGCGATAACTTCGACAGACATACACACGGATCATATACAATGTATAGTATCTTCGGTTTGGAAGAGTTAGATACTAATGCAAATCTTTTAAATATGCTTAAGCTGTGTCTGATGTGTGTGGAAAATCTGTAAACCTGTTAAGTATTTTCGTCTGTAGAAGTGATAATAAAGGGTAAATACCGCTGTTACTTCCTGAAAAATCAAATGTTTTTGCTTACAAATTATTTTCGTTTATTTCGTGGGTCCTCTCAATCTTTAAACATGTCCACGAACTGTTGAAATGCGGATAAATAGTCTCAATGAGATTCATTTAGTCACGAAATGTGGCGTCAACGAGATAGTGACGTTTCGAATTGACTCCCACGAAAATTTTATGATTTTACAATATTTTATGTAACTGTGTAAAGATTGTACCAAAATTCACTATTCACTGTTAATTTTGGAACATCTCTTGATATAACAGATTGATACACCCAAACAGCAAGATTACAGCAGCTATATTAAATTTCTCACATCTGTCGTTTATGTACGATCTTCAAGTGAGTTTTTTTTATTTCAATATGAGATTTTATTGAGTCTTAAATTTTGTTATTTCTGTTAGTCCTGGCTAGCAAAAAGTAAAGTTTGAGACGTGTTTCGGAAAATTCGTTAAAATTGACAATAAATTCGAGATATTTTTTATTTATTACTCAGCAAAAATGAGTTGTTTTAATGTAAAATCATGGGGGACAAAATTAACTTAAATTGCTCAATTTTCAGTTCACAACAAAACGTCATTGTCCATATCATGACATCACGAATTTTTCTGACTGGCGCAGGCCATTGAAAAGCGCTTCAGGGTATATCACGCGAGTGACATATATGCAAAAACATCAAATGCGCAAATTCCAATTATGTGATAAATACGTGTACATCTTTTCAGATATCTAACATAGTTTAATGAACTGAAAGATCGAAATTAGCGTGGAAATAATTTTTTTTAGTTAGCTTGTCATACTGAGTCACGGAAATATCTTAACGAACTTGCGTGCTGTTCTGAAATTACACCAGGTTAATATTTAAAAACAGATTATACTGTGATATTAGAACTATACACTTTCAAATAAAATGTTAATTCTAAAATACCAGGAAACTACAATCACGCATTTTTGTAAACACGCGCTAGTCAATCGTAATCTTTCTTAATTTGTATTGATCAAATTTTTTTCAAAATCAAAATTTGTCTATGTATGTTAGGCAGTATATGTATGTCAAGTTTTGGTGTTTTTTCACATTTTATGTACGTATAATAAAGAATTGAAATCAATTACATTGTAAGCCGAATACTGTTTCTCCTTAGAGATAAAATTCGAGACGTCACTCTGTGCGTTGAATTTCTATTAGAATATTTTAATCAAGACTGCAGAGTGTGATGAATTTGAACTTCCATTAAATGTGCTTTTGATCTTATTGTAATATCAAAATTGAACATTAAAACAGCATTAAGATGAAAACGTGCACGTGTTTAATGATTATTGACCATTACAAACGTATGAGACAAGAAAACGAGCGTGAGTGTTGAACTTAATACCTTGACAGATATTGAAATTTTAGATTAGCTTACGTATTCTAAAAAAAACATTAGCATTGAGCCGGAATTGGTCGAGGCCATGTCTTTTATCAAAATATGCATTGATGGACAGGCAGGATTTATTGTTGATATTTCATACTGATATGGAATATATTGTGAATAGTCTACAGGTGTGACTCTTCACGATGCTAGATTTATGACTTAAAGGCGTTCATGTTTTTATGGACATCAGACTACCATAAAGAGTTAAATTTATTAAGACAGTAATGTGTATTTATAATTATGTTTTTGTTATAGAATGTCCGGCTTCGTTGATTTCGCAACTCTAAGTCGAGAAACGATGTTGAAATGAAAACAATGGTATGATTTACACTGAAACTCCTGATAAAGGTCGTGCCAAAAATAGACAATAACACGGCGTAGTGAAGTGACTTGCTTCATCATAATATCCGCTAGTTGAATCTTGATCAATTCAAAAGAATGCAACGTTCTGAAAAAGAGAACCGAGACACGACAACAGACCTACCAATCGTACTAACATGACAGCTATCGAACTTAATTTCGCTCAAAGCAATAAAAGCATTTCCAATGAAAATGAAAATGACCAAAGCTTGCACGTAATCTTCATCAAAACGCATCTCTCGCAACCCAGTGTTAGAAGTTTGTCTGTCAGTCGTCTACACCACGGACTTCATGATATTGGGGAAAAGCGTCGAGTATTGATTCAAACCGTGAAATGTAAATACCACGTGTTTCCAAAATAGATTTGATGTTTCTTAATCATAATAGAGAGAGAGAGAGAGAGAGAGAGAGAGAGAGAGAGAGAGAGAGAGAGAGAGAGAGAGAGAGAGAGAG